ACTGATCAATTTTACAGCCACATCATAATCAGCCTCTCATTTATATCACATAGTCAAATGTTCACTTTGTCTGGTTTGTTGCAGTCTGCCCATTTAACAATTCCCCACAGATCCTCAATAGGATTAAGGTCTGAATTATTAGAAGGCCAGTCCCATAATAATAACCCCAGGGACAATTTTTTTAAAAGACTCCTTGGCTACTTGGGTCGAGCATGGAATAACATACTGTTATGTTAATATCATACAGGTCAATAATTTATTGCTTGCTTATTATCCTGCTGACATATCCACCTTCTTCCAGCATTCTGATTTCTGGAAGACGTTTCTCCAAAATTTCTGTATAAAGTTTTACATCCATAATGCCTGTGAAACAGTGTAACCAGTTTTGCCCTTGTCACAGCAAAACTAGTTCCTTGACACATCTACAATAACACACGAAGTTAGGTCAGTAGACCTTTTTTAATTTGATGTACAAAAAAAAGAGTTTCTTCATTTATAATGTCTTCAAATTTTTCTTCAAAGTTTTCTTCATAATCATTTTCGTCGCTTTCTTCTGTAAGTTTGTCGATTTCCATAAATTGGCCATTTAAAACGTAATAGTAATAGTAATTTATAATTAGGAAGGCCGATCAGTGGTTAAGAACTTTCTAGACTTTTTCACAATGTATGCAGAATGTGACCAATGATAATGAATGCGCAGTTATGAATTAAATCGCGCGCCCAAGACGGGCTCGCTGATCTGTGCGCATAAGTGAGGAAACCACAAAACTGTAAAAAGACCAATAAACTCGAACAATGGTAATCATAAATTCGCGTCAAATAACTTTCGGTCATTGTTAATTACTTTCAGTAAACGTTTACGTGAATATTCCTATCTGTAGTCAAAGAAGGGTCTTTCTGTTGCCGAAAAACGCAAACGCCTTGAAGATTTGTTCCATGAAAGAGTATTGTTAATATTGTCCCATTGATCATATGTAGTTATTTAATTAAAGTGGTGCTATCATTGAATGACTTCTTTCGTTGCAGAAAGAATTCTTTCAATTGAAAGAGCTTGAGAAGATTGCACCGAAAGAGAAAGGAATAGGTAACACATGCGCAAGCTATTAGTAAACGACAACTAGTCATCGAATCCATTACACTAAACATTCGTATTTTTCAGTGTCTCAGACAGTCAAAGATATATTGCAAAGCCTTGTCGATGACAATCTGGTTCAATGTGAAAAAATCGGGACGTCAAATTACTATTGGGCATTCCCCAGTAGTGCTCTCCAGAGTGTAAGCTAATAGAACAGTATTTCAATAAGATAATTATATCGTGTTTGTATCTTGTAGCACGTCGTTGCTAATAAATTTCATTTAAAAGCGACGCACTAAAATCGACGACTTGACAAATGAGTTGAAAAAGCTAAAAGAGAAAAACGCAGACTTGACGGCTAGTATCGAGAATGCTTCTAATGGACGCGAAGAGTCTGTGAGTTGCGCGCGCGCGCATGTTACGAATTGTCAACTGTGTATTGTAAGAATCCATCATTCTTATCACGCTACACATTTACACGATGTAGGATGAACGAACAACACTTCTCGGACAGTTGGCAGAGGCAGAAAATTTACGAAAGCAAAATCTCGAAGAATTAAAACGATACAAGGAATGCGATCCAATATTGCTTGAAGCAAAAGAAAAGGCGTCTGCTATTGCACTTGAAAGCGCTAACAGATGGACAGGTAGCATTACAACATAGCAAATGCAATAATCTTAATCTGCTAACTGACAAGTCTCTACCTTCCACCTATGGATAGAAAATATTTTCCTTCTACAGTCTTATTGTGTCAACAAGTGCAATGTCGAGCGAGCAGATTTCAATCGACAGTTTGGTATTCCCGAAGACTTTGATACTTTGTGATGGCTCATTGATACAGCATATGTCAATTTCACATTATTTCTTATTGTTGACTACACTCTTATTGTCTCCGTCTCTAATTAATCAAATAATAAAAACATCAAGTGGAAAACAGACGCGTGCCTGATATATAAATAAAACTACATATTATTCTTCTTCTTCAATGAGGATGTTACTCTCCTCTACAGGAACATTCCGATATCTTTGCGAAGATCGAGTGCAACTCGACAGAGAGAGTTGAGCACATATTATTATTGTCATATCCTATACACAGAATAACAGGTATTATTTTGACTGCGCGAAAATGCAAAATCAGCGTCAACCAACGTGTCCGTCATTTCACTTACTCTGACAAAGCACCAGGCTTCTTTCCAGAAACCGGAGTTGGGTATTTGTGAAATTCCGGAAGCGTGATGCACCATACGATTATAAAAAATTCCACCTACGAAATAAACAAGTAGTGCAATGAAGAATCTAAACCAAAATAAAAGCGTTAGTTGACCGGTTAATCTCGAGCCATTTATGTCAGCAGTTTAAAATTCAGTTCAATCACACAAGGCTCGTTCTGCCCATGATTACTAATTACTCGATGCTGTCATTCACATCTCATGTGTTTCGCTTCTTTTCTATCTTCGATTCTGTCCCCTTTCTAAATGCAGAAGACTTACATGGTAAAGAATAATCCTACACCTGTCATGCCTTCTTGATTTTTCGGCACAGGACATGCCACTGGCGTTCGCCATTCAAAGACATATACGCATTTATCCACGTCCGCTACGAATACAGGTGCATTGGACTCGTCGACTGATTTATCACAGCTGAAGAAGATTACACTGGCGCGACGGAGAGAAGAGTATTTACACGGATCTCCAGTTTTATAAGTCAATACCGCTTTATTATTACGGTATTCTAGTTTGGAGGAATATTTCCTTTCGACAGAGTCGTCGAAGAATAGAAATAAAGGTAGAATCGAGTGAGCTTTGGCGTTAAGCCTTCGTAGGGCGTGCCACCTATTCAGTTATAATATTCACCCTAAACCAACAGGCCCGTCACCAGATTCTTTGACGTATGCACCCATTCCTTCCAGTCTTTGTGTGGCATGACACACGTTTAACTTGTATTGAACTTCACTGTTATCGTTCGTAACTTCCCAGTCATCTCTACACAAACATTTAACAAGAGGCTTGAGAAGGTTTTGGTATATTCAGATCAACAAATCATCCCCATATTAATATCTTTACCCTGACTCTCTTCTTAATTTACGTAGGTCAATAATATTTCCGGTATTCTCTATAGCTATCGTGCATTCGGGTTCAGATTCATCCTCAGCTAGAACAAAATGTAGAGAGCATATTATGAGGAAGAGGACAAGAAGTTGAACGCAACGTGGCATATTAAGAGTTTAGAGATAAAGCGCAAAAAAGCAAAACCCGGAACGCATCGAAGTAATACCGCGTGGACACGTGAATTGTACAACCGAAGACAAGTAGATTTGATTGCATCAATATCGATAAACGATCCACACACATCTTCTTTTTATATCGTTCAATATGGTTAATCTCGCAATAGTCGGTCCTGGTCTTGCAATTACTTGCACCGGTTTGAGCATTGCTGGAATTATATTCCTTGTAAGTCGTATAAACTTATGTATACGCGTTGATGGTAATATCGTTATTGACTTACTTTTTATATTGCATTAAAACTTCACAGCTTGTTCTCGGTGCATTATTCAAAGCAGAGGTCGAAGGCTTGACCGAGTCGACAACGGATCCTGATGACCCTCAGGCTGTTGCTTGGGCATGTTTTATGGCTGCCGGAATATATGCGGGACTTTTCTTATGCTGTGGATGTCAAGTAAGATTTATGATATAGCATATATGACCGCACTAGTTATAATACGAGATGCTGAGATAGGATATGACAGGCCAAAGGGAAAAAGAGATGGGGTTCTGTTGAAGGCAAAGTGAAGAAACGACGTTAATTCGAAACTAAAATATTTGTTTTCTTTGTTAAAGGTGGTTGCGAATAGACGACAGCGAAGAAATGAAATTAGAATATGATCACATCTTGCGGTCAATTAATATGGTCCCGCGTTGGGAAGGCTTATTCAGTACCTTAATCAAATGTTAATACTTTTAATAACTCGAAAATTGGTTAATTTGAATTATCATACTTATCGGAAGCTTGTCGATCAAAGGAAAAACAGTAAAGCCAATTCACATGCTTAAAACTGGTTTACTATTACTCCTAAATTACGATCAACAATTGATTACCAATCTTTGTATGATAATATCACTTGTCTGAAAAGGAATCCTATCGAGCGAATTGCGCACAATCAAGTTACGTGCTAAACTATTCGTACATAGAGTCCCCGGCTTGTTATTTAATCTGATGAACTTTGATTTTAAACGGTTGTTGATATCATCAGACACGATATCTGCGTTCTAAGCATCATTCTCTGAGCAGTTACTTTTATTTCGATATCGCAAAGTGATGTTTGGTTCGTTTCTCTGGAAGATCCGTCGTCTTTCTATTACATCATAACGGTCGAAAGCATTATAAATCTCTTACTGACCAACCAGCGCAAAGCTATCATTGAGAATAGATGCATATTTTTCGTCATTAACATTGACATTGTAAGTCTAATCTCCAGGGACTAACCGTCTCGAATAAACGGTTTATTAAGCAAAAAGCATCGGAAATATTGGGATTTTCGAACTTGACTAAATTGAATCTGCGTACTAATACTAATACTGGCAAATAATTTCGTGAGTGATAATTTCAAGATCTAAAGCCATTATTATTGTTATAAAATACTGTATGCTGGGTCAAACGTTTTAACCGTTCAAAACTGAAACGCGCACCAAAGAACTTGATGTCCATGCGCTTCTCTTCGTTGCGTGTGGACCACTAAGCTTTAGTTTTAATCAGCATTCATATTAGTGGCGTAGTTGTGATATACAAACTCTCCAAGACTATTTGGATAAAGAAAATTCACTTGTGAAATTTATCAAGAGGAAGAATTCTAAAACTAATTAAAAATAGAAATTATAATTAGAAAACTACATAATAATAAATTTATAATAATAATAATTAAATGTTATAAAAATAATTATCATGAACAACCAACAAATTCTCAACAAATTAAATAAAAATTCAAGGAAAGAAAACTGGCAACCTTAGAGATGTTAGTATTAGCTCAAGTAATGCAAATTTAATTTTAGTTAAAAAGTTTGCTCATGAAGCAACAGGAACAAATCAAGGTCAGCTTCAGCCAATTATCCTTGAGATTAATTCTCTAAATATACAAATTGGACCACATCATTAAGTCTTGCAAATAATTGGAAATATCAGCAAAAACAAGTCAGTATGAATCACCAAAATTTTGTGACTGCATGAAAGTGGGGATAAGTCGACAAAAAGTTCCAAGAATATATAATGTATATCAATCAATTAATAGTACCCTAACAATAGCAAAAAAATAAAAAGTGGTATTTGTAGAACAGTTAACAAGTCCCAAGCATCCTCCTGACTATGTACTATGAGCATATAGCGCTTCTTCACCTTTCAGCATAAATGTTTAGTCAACGCTTTATAATTTCCACAAACTTGTTGTTCATATAAGACTAGTGTACGTCTTTCAGAACAATGATTGCAAGTCGCATATTTATATCACGCGGATTGTTTTTTCATAGGCTGCTTTACAAATTTAATATACTTGTACAAAGAATCCCACGAAAACAGCATTAGTATTTGGGAACTATTTTCAAAGTCTTGTTAATATCAAAAATACAATTCCACAGTTATGGAGTATTGAGCATTACCTACAAACTAAATTTGATTCTCTCCTTATAACGAATGTATGTAAGGTGCAAAGTTTCACATTTTGTTGATAAAATGGCTACCTTTTTCGATATTAAAGCTTGTGGGCGTATTAGTATTGAAGCACATTAAAACGAATTATACTATTAAAATGGCAAATCATTTGAATAATATTAACAAAACGCCAACAGTGTCAAAAAACCGTGGCGCAAGTTTCTTTGAAATTTAGTGATTTTATTTTTACATATAATAGATGCTAAATATTAGCCGGAATCAGGACAAACTTATCACCAATAGACGTTGGTTTACGGAACCGAATCTGACGTTAGTCTGGCGCTTCTATTATTTATTCCTGTGTCAGAAGGCATGGAAAAGGTATTGACTAACTGTGGATTTAACTACATACAGTGATTATGATATTTCTATTGGCATCAGTACGACGCTGAAACAGACAAAAAAAAATATCTTTGAGGACAGAACAGGTCAGAATACCTTCCCCTGGATGATTTGTGGGAGTAAGGAATCGGTTTGCATACTTAAGTCAAGCTACCAAATGAAATTATAGTCATTTTCTCGTGTTTTAGATCAGTAGCTAGTCGCATGAAAAGGATTAGGCCCAATCCAATCATGCGCTCTTTATAAACAGGTAATTGGCACCTCATATATTGATACATTCTATACGTACCACGTCATACGCGTTCTCCAAAGGATGAGTTTGTCCCAAGAAGATAACGTCGCGTCTCACAAAAGTCTGCTAATCTTGCTGAAATCGGAAAATGTCGCGAAAAGCAGAAAAAAGAAACTAACAGTAACTTAGTATGAAAAGGTGGATAATCGCCTGCAGGAATAAAATTGCATAATATATAGTTCGGACACCCCATTTCTCCTACTCTCTTCGCAAGTACAAGTCTATGGCAGCCGAAAATGCCGCAAATCCAGCACATCCAACGGCAGCTGCCTGCGGACCAGCTTTAGCAGCCAGTATCGCTCCGGTTATGCACCCTGCCGCTGTGCCGTTATACACGTCATTTTTTGCACGATACTGATTGCATTCCCAACGAAAAAAAAAAAAAAAAACAACAGACGGATCAGCTACGGATTTCGTAATTCTGCTCTAGCCATTAGAAACTTACGCCTTCAATTATGCATTCCGTCCCAGAGAAAATAGCACCCACGACAGCGAAATTCTTAGCCATAGAAAATGACCTTGCGGCCATGTCCTTTGCTGTGTGTTTCAACTGCTGTTTCATGGGGGCATCCAAAAGTGCAGGATCTGTCGATGCCATTTCGAAGGATGACATAAACATGCCAAACACACCACCCAGAGCGAATCCTATTGGCGAATTGATTATATAGGAGAATGCCACATAACACGATCAAATAACGCACAACTTCAAATTCACTTTGTTAACTGATGCGTGTCATTAATACCTGCCGCTCCGCTGAACACAAACTTAAACGGACATGACTCGCTTATAGCTTGGAGATCAATTGGTGGTGATGGCTGTGGAGGTGGTGTCTGTGGCACTGGAATCCCAGGAAATGCCATCCTTTGAATCTGGAACGAGAATGGTAAAAAATCGATAGTATTTTGAAATTCACGTGATTATTTAAACCCACATGACGACCTTCGATTATTACTGTTACATCATCATCGGTTACATTCTAATAATCATAACTGAACCCCTTTCAAGTCCTCAATTCTAAACATGAGTTCTTCTGCCAAGTCTGCTAGCGGTAGCTTTAAAATAAAAATACCTGCAAAGAGAACATCTGCATCTACCTTTGATCAGACCAAAAGGAGGAGAAAAGGGCAAGAAGAGGAGGCGGAAGTGCGCGTAGAAGAGCAGTTTATACTTAGATTGCAGATACCAGAGGAAGATCGAGAAAAGTTTCGGGAGCAAGTTCGAAACCGGCATTATGTTGATGATATAGCTATACTGTTTAAAGGTATGGGAGAGCAATACGTTAGACGTGCAATTCCAGTAGTTTTACAAGGTTGTTCTACTCGACTTTAGATCCGCGACATGCGATATTCAAGTTCAATGATCAGAAATACAGCGCAAGGCTTGTTGATCTTCCGTGTATAATAGAGTCTCAAAAAACATTTAATAATAAACAATTTTATAAGATTGCTGATATATGCCAGGTTAGGATTCCTTTTGGTTAACTTTGTTCCGTGAATTCGCGATAGACATTTGATCATTGTGCAGATGCTAGTAGTGGAATGGCCAATCGAAGATGAATCACAATTGAACGAGTATAAAACTTCAATGAATATGGAGGATTTTATCTGGTCAGATGGACTGGCACCTCCGTTGAGAAATGTGCGGAGGAGACGATTCAGAAAACGGCTGTCAAACAGGGTTAGTTATGATTTTTCGCCGTTTGCCCTTGTTGCGCACGAAAGACGGAATCAAATTATCTCATACACTTTTTTGTGTATATATTATCTGATTCTGGCAGAATTATTTACCTTTGTCAAATTTTCTTTGTGAAGGCAATAGAAGAAGTAGAAAGGGAGGTTGAACGGTTGTTGAAAGCAGACGCACAAGCTGAAAGAGTACAATACGGTATAATTGGATTCAGGGTAAATTTATTGACTGCTGGAATTTGAAATTTATTTTGACTGTCGTCCATGTCTCTTTGATTGTCGAAGATCTGGTAGAAGACGTCATGGACTCGGAAATAGGTACACCAGGCCTTGCCCTTGATAATTCGTATGAAGCAGAAGCCGAGGCTGGTGAAGAATTCTATGCTGTTGGAGAAGATGCCGGTGCAGCGTTGGAGCGCGACCTCGATCTTATGGATGAAGATGAGGAACGCTCTGACGAAGAGGAAGACGAAGATGAGGAGAGTGAAGATGAAGACGAAGAAGAAGATGGTAAGTTAATCACTATGTTCCGTTAATATAAAATTCGCCCGTTTATTGTCATTGATCGTGGTATTGTTTGTGTTGTTAGTTGAAGAAGCGATGGCTGAATTACTGGAAAATAAAAAGAAATTGGAACAAGAAATATCCGAAACTCAAGAATTGATACAAAAGAAACGAAATGATCTGGCAGCAACTGAAAACCCTATAATGAAGGTGCGTTCGAAGGTGACGCGTCTCTACAAATGTCTTGATGTTTTTACTAACGCGTCATTATATGTATATATAGGAGAGATTCGAGAAGACAATAAGTAGGCTCACCAATGATCTCGAGTCGAAACAAGCACAATTAAGCGAAACAAATACCAGAATGAATGCTATGCAATCTACGAATGACAATAAAACGGAACAGATGAAGTTGGAATAATGAATATGTGTTATGTGATAATAATAGTCCCTCGTACTCGTAAATGAATGTTTTAAATATGCAAAGTTGAATGTAATATAATATCAATGGTCTTATGTACATCACTATGTATATTGTTCGTCTTTTAGTCACGCCGTCAGTCCCTATGAATTCTCAACGTATTCCTCATTTTCTCCATTTCCTTCACAAATGCAATTGATAGATTCCCATATAGTGAATTAATTTTCAATATTTCTAATTTAGGACACCCAATAATGACAGCCTTCACGCCATGCTCAGTCACACGATCACATCGTTCGATATCCAATTGTCTCAGTTTCTTTGCACGGGTTCCCAATGCTAACAAAGACGCATCAGTCACTTGATTACATCTGGACACTCTCAACTCTCGCAATGACGGTAGCATTGACAATGCAATAACAGAGTTATCACTAATATAGTTGCAATGCACAAGACTGATTGATTGGAGCCTCATACAACATTTACTTAATGCTACGATGGACGAATCATCTATCTCGTTAAGATCAGAAAAGTCGAGCGAGAGAATATCAGGACAATTGACAGCGAGTGCATTGACGGTCAAGTTAGAAAGACGAGCCGATCTTTCGATATTAACGGTTCTTAATTTCCTACACTTTTCAGCAAGTCTTACAATCGCTGCGTCTGTTATCCTAGTACATGATTGCAAGTGCAAATGAGTCAATTCATTGCAGTACTTTGCTATCGTATCTATCGAAGCATCAGATAAATTCCTGGGGTCACTAATAATCAATTCTCTCAGCCCATTACACTTGCTTATCAGGTCTA